ACGATGTGAAATATCATTATTTATTCGCTATAACTTTTTACCATGATTAATTAATAAAAGTAGTCTGTAAATTTTTTACACATCGTTTGTTCGGTAAATGCTGTTTTAATTTTAGTCAAAAAGAAAAAGTAATGCGAAAATATTTTACAAAAATTACTTTGACATTTTTTATGGATAGTTATGAAGCTTTCTGTTTCAGACATTTGAAGTATAGTACACAGTGGTAGTAAAGGAATCTGAAAGTTCATTTCATGCATAAGCGTTATCAGTCAAGTTCTGAACTGCTTATCATTATCAAATTCTCCATTATTTTTTTTATTAGCTAACCCCTTATCACACGTATTATCTAAAGTGGAAATATCAATAAATCATTTGTGAAAAATTTTTTATAGAAAGTTATAATTAAATATTATTGTGCAAGAGTTTTTTATAAACCTTATCAATTTATCACATTCAAATTATCTAAGCTATGTAAAAAGACGTTTTTATTTCAATCATTGTGATGTCTATCAGTTATTAAACTGTTTTTTGTTGCAAATACAACAGAATTTAGATACAAAAAATTCGAAATTAAAAATAATTTCTTTGTAATCTAATTAAAACGTATTAAAATCAGCACGTAGATAAAAAACAAGTCTTATAAAGACTGAGGAAAATATATTACAAAATAACATGACGTTTAAGATGCGCAGGTACATGCAAAACTAGAAAAACTTGTTTTTTAGAAAAAAACGGAAATCTCGGAGAAAAACATATTTATTTTCCAGTGTTATGCTACATCAAAAACAACACGAAGTGACTGAATTCAAATTAATAAATTCTAAAGATCAGATGTCGATATGCAGTACTGTTAATACAGTACTTTATTTAAGTACAGTTTGAAACACACACAGCATCCAATAAATTTGCTCCATATACATAAAAATTGCATTAATCTATTGTATTAACAAACTCACATAAATATGAATTTGATAGAAACCTATTGATATTACAGCTCAACGTATATTTTTTCAAATATAAAACCTGTGTTTAATTCATTTTTTGCATAACTTACGTAATGTTCACTTTAAGTCATCGCTACATAATACTTCATATCTTGTAAATATAAATGCGTACACGCCCGCGTAAGCATATTAATGTGTAAGGTCAGATAAAGTTCAAATATGTTACTGACTGATGCAAGTGCAAATTATTACCGATCAGATACAGATCAACTAACTTCAGTCATTACCCACAAACATTAATGTGCAACATAAATCATCGTTGGTAATTCATAGATAAGCTTCGTGCCACATGTTTACAGATGCCTACAGTTTATACAAATGTTCCACATAGTCCATATAAAGATTATATAATAATATAAATAGTACGACTTACTTACTGAAGTATATAATGAACATGATCTATCTTTACATATATAATATAAAACAATCAATATATTTAAATAAACAATACAAATTTGTATTCATAATTCAGTATCACAAGAAGGTTAATCTTAGGTGTAATAGAGATACTGACGCTAAATCGTGTACCAGCACTTTCGTTCTGTTCGTCCAGCGTCCAGTTTTGTTGTGTTGATCTCCATCGTTTCATCCTCGAGGAATCCAAGGCAGTGTCCAGCGCCTTTTTGAGGATTATCGATCGAATATATGATGTGTCATGATCAGATATACCGACTTCCTTCACACTCCGCGTTTTGTATCCCGATTGCAGATTTCGTTTGCTTCTTCAATTTCTGGAGGGCATATCGCACTTACGAACATCTCGCAATACAAGGGCGGGGTCCCCTTTAGGTTCTCCTAAACCGGTCAAAAACCGTTTTCAGCACTTCTCCGGGCCAGCTGCTTTGCGGAACCTAAATTTCTCTAATGACTACATGGAACGTAATCATTCTGTTGGTACCTGGTTCTAGTACACTCCCGTGCTCTACCACACTCTTGATGAAGGCTTTTTCAAGCATCTGTTTACTCTTTGTTTACAAATATAATTTCAGAGTTTTTCTCCGTCGAGCTTCCGCTTATTTCCTTTTCGTACAAATTCATATTTGTAAATATATCATGTGCAACAGGTCATAGGTTAATCTTTTCTTCCGTCTTCTTGATTCTCGAGTTGTACTGTATTCCATCCTTCACGAACTTTTCCTCAACAACCTCACCTGTTTTCTATTTGTTTTAATTCATAATTCCAAGCTCGATTTTTTTTCTTTTATCAACCATTTCTTGCTTTTTTGCTCTGTGGTGCGCTCGAAACCTGACACTTCAACCGCTCGGCAATTGGGCAGAGCCAAATAATTCGTAAATATATAGTACAAATTATTAATAAATTCAAAATTCTAATACATGTTCTCAAATGTATGATATTTATGATTTTCATAATTTGGTCCAAATAAAAGCCGTCTTGCCCACCCAATGCAAATTATGCAAACCTGAAAGATGCAAATAACTTTTGCTGTTTGCTTTGCATTATTACTACTATTATTATTGTTTTGTTGGGTGATATTTTCATTTTTAAGTAATTAATATAGAATATTCTTGGTACCATTGTTAATTTTATAACAAAAAGTAAGTTTTGAGCGAATGATGACATGGTCTTGCATTTTAAATTTATCACAGAGTGTGAAACTAGTTTCCTTTCTTGCCACAAAGTAGTACGGGTTTAATAAGGTCAGAAATTAGTGTAAAATTGTTAGTTTCAGTTATAACTAAAATATAAATTTTACAAAAGGTAAGATTAAAATATGCATTGATTAATTTTTGGCATAAAAAAGATCACTTGGCTGCACGCCAAAGAAACGTTTGAAAAATGCAGTATTGACTTTTTATCATTTTAAAGCACCCACCAGTAGTAGTCCTTCAGGTAATTTTTGTTTCATCATTAACTTTTTTAATTAAACTGTCAAATTATATTGTTTGCATTAATAATTAATTTAAAAATTGTCTGTACTTATTAGAAAATTGAGTGAAAAAATTAGTAAATTTGAAGAGAATTTTTAAATAGTTTGTCAACCTGAAAACTAGTTATGTTTTGAATTAGAAAATTTTAAAAATATTTGTTGTGATAGATTTAAAGACTCTTACATTCAAACAAATATTGTATCATTTACTTAATTTGAAACGCCACGTACCGTTCTGTTTATTTTGAACAGTGCAGACAAATTTTGTACCTTTTTTAAATTCATCAAGCGTATGCACTCTGCTAATTATTTATTCATAATGCCATAATTATTTTTCTTTAAATACCACAAATCAATGACTTATAGTTAATGAATAATTTTTGTTCAAGTATAATAAATTATTTCGTAAATCTATTCTATCACACTTCATAAATTGTATGCTTAATAATTTTGGACCATACTGATATTATGACATTAGAAGAAAAGTATTCTACGTACAACTTAATTAAATTATTTGAAGTTGCATAAATGACTGAATCATTTTTTGTGTTCTAGTAGAAGAACTGAATGGGAATGGATGAGTCGGTGGGGTTGGATTCTTTAGCTTTACCTGATCAGCAATGTTTAGATGCTCCTGAAATGCTGCATAAGTTACCCTTTGACCTTCGTTGGCCTTTATTACAAGCTTCTTCAGCATCAGTCCAAACTCGTTATCATCATTTGGCCGGTGTTATTGAAACTGATAATTTGGACAATTCATTCAAAAGGTACAATTTTGTACTACTGTTTTTGTTTTGAATAAATTTGAGAGCCGAAAATTTTTTTGGTTTCTGTTTTCATTATACTCTTTGTATTGTGATTAATTAGTTGAAATAAAAAAACAGTCGTGACACTGTTAAAATACATTCAGAAAGATTTACCATTTCTTTGTTTGTATATTTTTTCATTCTAAACAAAAGTTTTAAATTCCTCTATTATTTTTTCAAGCTCTTTCGCATTAAGCTTATTCACTTTTAATTTCAAACCAACGAAAAATGAGTGATAGAGAAAATGAATTATTATTTTATTTTGATTTTTTAATTAATAATATTTTGCTTCAAGTGTATAAAAAGCGTTCAAATTGCAAAAGCTTTTAAATATACTTAGACATCGTCGGGTGTTAAATGATGCAACGCAAACATGGGATGTCGATCGAGGTGAAGGAGAATTCCAGTGCAAACTATCAGATGAAACATTAAGACAAGTATGTACAGACAAACAGAAAGATTAGATTTTTTATTTTTATTTTATAAGCTATGCAGTCATACAACTTTCTAAATGTTTCATATTTGTGTTTGATTATATTACAAATAGGTACTTGATTTGTTTAAATACTTAAATTTCAATGAAAATTTGTAAAGTAATCTAAATCTCAAGCACCATTTCCTCATTTATATTTTATGATCAAACGCAAATATGGAGATCAATATTTTCATGATTAAGAACTTAATCTCACGTCTTCTATGTTTTTAAATTGGAGTTGTTAATTGATATTTTACAAATTTTCAGAATGTACTGGTAGAATCAAAGTCGAAAGCAGCAGTTCGAAAATTTCCAGAGAGTGAATTCGAACAAGTAGGTTTATTTTACTTTCGAATTTTTTCGCTGCCGTATTAGTAATTATGATAATTTAAAGGTTCCATAAAATTGCTCAGATTGTGACATCTGCCATTATTAGGAAGCGTTATGTAGTAATAAAATTTTTTTAATTGTTTAGGTTTCAAATTAATAATAGTAATTATGTTACAGAAAGTAGCAGTTTTTTCAGAAGAGTGTCTTCACTTCCCTTTGTGTTTATTTCTGTTGGGCAGTTTTATTGTTCTTCGCGCTTATACGAGAATTCCTCCGAAAATATGGTATTGAAAAGAATTTTGCAGCTGTTGAGCGACTAGAACAACAAGTCAGCATCAGTTTTTTGACTTTTCAGTTCACATCATCACATCCTTTAAAAAATCATAACTCATCAACATTTGCCTGAAAAAAATGCATTTAAAGTTATTATTTCTACCTTTAGGATTTTGTTCCTCTTTTCTCGGAATTTGAATCTATATATCAACGGAATTGTTATATGAGAGTACGTGATGTTTTCGAAAGACCGATCAGCGGTGTTCCGGGGGCAAAAGTAAAACTGTTGGATCGTGTCTCTGATGATTATAATTGGACGTACAAGTAAATTTTGTATCAATTCGATGTTTAACTAGTTTCTCATTATTAATGTAGTTGTACTTCTATAAACTAATCAAAGTAGAAAAGCAACATTAAAGCATTTTTTAAAAGGAAGATTAAGTAAAAAAATTATTGAATATGTCGCACTCAAATATGTCTATTCTACTTAGGTATCTTGGAACTGAAACAGAAGTGATAAATGTTGGATCATATAATTATATGGGTTTTGCGGAAACAGATGGCTGTTGTGCAAAGGAAGTATCTGCAGCTATCGATGAAGAGGGATTATCTACTTGTTGTTCAGTTCAGCAATTGGGTAAAATCTTTGCAGATTTTGTATCCTATACCTTACATTACTTACTTTCAGTGTAAATATTTCTGAAAGATTTTGAGTCATTGGCTCATGTTATTCAGGGAATACGCTTCTTATTTGAAGATTTGTTTATCCTCTTTAATTCACAGTTTTTGTAGCTTTCTTGTAAGTTGTTATGCATTCTTTTCAGTATTTACAATTAAATGATTAGGATTGTCACTGTCTTATTTTATTTGCTATGTTGATGTGATAAGATCTCAAATAGGAAGACTGAACTTTTAGGATATTCAAAAGCACAGCAGGATTTGGAAATACTCGTAGCGCAGTTCATGGGTGTAGATGACGCTATATGTTTCAGTATGGGTTTTGCTACCAATTCATTAAATACGCCGTGTTTAGTCGACGAAGTAACATTTTTAAATGTGATTGTAAGATTTCTTATTTATTATAGATCAATTTTCGTAAGTGATATTAAAATTACAGAATTCTGTAGTAATCAGTGATCAGTTTAATCATGCCTCACTTATTCTTGGTATTCGAATGTCAGGAGCGACAGTTCGTATATTCAAACATAATGGTAACCATTGTATTTACTAGATTTTTTGCACTTGCACTCTTTGAATCGTTTTATGAAAAAAATCAATTCTCTATTTGTGTTTTGTATAATTTAATTTAATTTTTTTGAACTTTTTTCTAAAGAACAGAAATAAACTATATACTTGAATATTTTATCAGCATTTATTAAATAACTGAAGAATCAGTACTCTACTAGTAGTTAGTTGTAGACACTTTTCTTCTCTACCACAATTTTAGTATTTTTACTTTAATTTAAAAATCTTTTGAAGATATGGTAGACCTGGAGAAAAAAATTCGTAATGCTATTATATATGGTAATGTGAAAAAAAAGAAACCGTTTACGAAAATTTTAATTGTTGTCGAAGGAATATATTCTATGGAAGGTTCGATATGCAATTTACCGGCAATTATTGCTCTTAAAAAGAAATATGGTGCCTATGTATATCTCGATGAAGCGCATTCTATCGGTGATTTTTCGATATTTTCATTTATTCATTGTCTTAAAAAATAAAGTTCGATGACTTTTTTTTCATGTATAAAAAAAATTTTTTTTAAGCAAATGAATAATTGCTATGAAATTGAAAAAATTGAAAGTAATGAAAAGTGACTTACAAAGCATAAATTTTCGCATCAATTTGGCATATTTTTACAAAGTTTCCATCGCGTTTATCATCTCAAATACAAAAATTATTTATTAGTTAAAGTATGCTATTTTTCAGCTACCTTATGATTCTACTGCTATATTTAGTTCTTTTACTTTGCAGCTTTTCATTTCTGAATTATAATCTACTACAATTAATATAGGAGCGATGGGTCATCGTGGACGTGGAGTTGTGGATTATTGGGGCTGTAATCCACGTGATATTGACGTTCTTATGGGAACATTTACCAAAAGCTTTGGTTCAGCTGGTGGGTATATTGCAGGAGAGGAAGTAAGTTTTGACAATTATTGACTTCAATATATTTTTGGGTTTTAAAAAGATATGGCAACTCCTTAATTTGTTATTTCTTTTTAGAGTGTGAATAAAGCTTTTTAGTTTAAGTCAGTTTGGTCGAAAAAACAAAATTTTTGAATAAATATATTTTTAGCGCCTTATAAATTACATACGGGCGCATTCAGCTGCTACAGTTTATGCTTATCCAATGTCACCTCCTATTGCTCAGCAGATCATTTCTTCAATGAAAGTAATGATGGGTCTCGATGGTACTAATGATGGTATACCTTCCTAATATAATTAGTTGATGATGACAGAAAAGTTTTTCTTTTGAAATCAAGCTCTTCAAACTTAATAAAATTATTTCTGACATAGTTCTAATTTCTGACGGGATTAATGTTTCAATTTTTTTAGTTAACTGTCAGTCATTTTTTGTTTCTGAACAGCTCAAAAAATTTCTTTTCAATCAAAGTTTTAAAACCCATTAAATTTTAAGATTTTCAGGTCAAATACGAAGAGAGCGTCTTCGGCGTAATACGCATTATTTCAGAAAACATTTAAAGCGTATGGGTTGCGTTGTATTTGGATCTGATGATAGTCCCGTTGTTCCATTCATGTTATATTATCCTACAAAATGCGGGTTAGAAATTGAAAATATGTTATTTTTTTCCAAACACTGCTTTAAAAATCAAAGTTTTTAAAAAAACAAAATCTGGATTGTAAAACGTACTTGTTAAGGTATTGGGGACGTGAGATGTTGAAACGTCGCGTAGGAGTCGTAGTTGTTTCGTTTCCAGCAACACATATGACAGAAAGTCGAGTTCGAGTGTGTCTTAGTGCTGCTCACACAAAAGAAATGTTGGATCATGTGTTAACTGCAATCGGGGAGGTGGCTGAGGAAAGTAATATTCTGGACTCTCGAATCAAGCGGAAATATGCAAATTTAGAAATCGAGTGGTAACACATATTAGTCTCGTCTAATATTTTACATTTTTATCAATAGGAGGTCCTTGATATTTATTTCTTTATTACGATGCTATTTAAAATAGCGTTGGTTTTCTGCCTTTTAAAAATATTTTTGAATTCAATTGAAGTTAGATGGAAAAAAGCCAAATTTTTGATACTAGAACTAGTTCTGTTATAAATCATCTGCCTTATCGATATAATGTTGTGTTTAGAATATTGTATTAACAACGATTAGTTTTTATCCACTTAGCCTCTGAAACAGCATTATATTTATTAATTAGGAGTTTTGAAATTTAAGATTTCACATTAAAAATTTACTACGCATTACTTAATTAATTTTTGTTATCATTTTTTCTCATATTAATTGTATAACATTTGATATAGGCACATATTTTCCTGTTGCCTTCCTAATATTACTATGAATAGCGATACTGCTTTTGAGGGTTATGCTTTACGAGTACTTTTTGATATTTTGCTTGTCTGCTACTAATTCACGTTGCTCATATGTTTGCGTTCATTTTGCTACATGTGATACCATTCATTAGATACATACACAGAATTTTGCTGATCTATTGTGACTCAAAGTTCTTGCCTGAATGTTCTAACAATTTTAATCAAGTACTCAATTTTTCAAATGAGTAAAGGATACAATATGAAAAATCTAAAACCATAACCTTCACATTCTTTTTTTTCCATTTTGCGTCGTATATGCAGAAAAAGACTGGTTACTCTGTGCCTTATATTTACCTCTTCTTTTAAATCATAATACATTTGTACTTATTAGTCAGTAGATTTCGAGGACTTTTTGACCTCATTATTTTTAGCTCGTAACTGGTTGTAAAAATTTTGTAAATAAGTTAAGCAGTAATAAGTATGGTCGTTTATTCCTCGCATTCAAAAATGTACTCATCAGAGGAACCACGCATGAAGATGATTATCACCCCATAAAGTGTTTGTTGAACCATTTCTGTATTATTTCCTCTCAATTTCACTTATTTTCAAATGTTTAAAGGGGACCTTATAAAGCGTTTATACCAGTTCACATAACTGCATATTATATTTTACTTTAATTAATGAAGCAATACTGCGTTGCAATAAACTTTTATCCCATGTATCACATGATAATATTTGTCAACATGGAAATGAGTATCTGTCAGTAATATTTGTCAACATAAGAATGAGAATGAAAAAAATTACTTGAACTAGACATCTGCTGTATGTTAAAAATAAGAAGGCTATGATTACAACTTGAAAGCAAGGCAATGAAAAATGACCGCTCGGAATGATTACAGAAACAGTTAACGTGAATATGTACAGCAAAATGTAGTGAAACACATGCTATATATGACAGAATGTATGCTCCTTAGCATTCTTCATGCTAAGATTTTTATTCTTGATTTAATTTCATTTAGAGTAGGTAATCGTCTGAGCAATTCCGAATAATTTTAGGAGTACTGGCTGATAATACACGTAAAACAAAATGAATATCTAACAAAGGAAATCTAGAGAAGGGATGTAACTTATTCTTCACTAGCTTTCCTTTGTTATATTTTAGCTACATAGTGAGAAGTTACAACAGTCGAACTTTATTGGCTTCTAAAAGGTTAGCTATAGATGGATATGGGATAAAATGGATGGAACCTGGAGGCAAATCCACACTCCTTTCTGACAATATATCAGTCATTTCAGGAATTACTGATTTTTCGTGTGTGTTACTAGTTACTTCCACAATCACTCGTTCCTTAGACATATCAATCTTTGTAGTTGGAAGACGTCGTAATGCAGGTGGTATTCGCTCCAAAAAGCATGTGTCCATTAAATTGCGTTTCATGATTTCGAAACTGCAGTTTCAAAAATATTAAATTCTTTTGAGCCCTTGGTTTTAATACTGAGACGACGAAATCATTATAATATCTGATTATTATTTTTCACATCTCCAGAACTAATCTGAGTAGTGAGCTTTACAATCATGTTGTTTTAGAAAAACAATATCACGCACTGCAACAAAATATATGTTTGAAAAAAATGAAATGAATAATTCACAAAAATTTGCTTACCGTTCAGCAAAGACTCTTTCTGTTGTACTTAGTAGGCGCTGAGCATTTATTTTTTCCCGCTCTATATCCTCGTTTTGCAACTCTTCGACGTCATTTTCGATCTAAAAAAATTCAAATATTAACTAAAGTAATAACAGCTATTCACAACTTCAGTTTGTTCAAATTTACCTTATATTCTAATAATCTCGTGACAAGACGGAGTTTTCAAGTAACATTTCGAATTTTATTTCATATTTTATTCAAAAATTTGTTATCATCCTACAGACGCCATTTTTATACATTCTAGAATCCAATAATGGTAATAGAAAACCTCTATAAAAGATTAAAATTAATTAATCAAGCATAATGTCCAAATATTGACTCACTTCCAAATCCACAAAACCCAACCTTTTTCAATCGCGTTCTTATGTACTCATTAGTCATGTAAGCCAAGCGCTGAACTTCCATTTTGTGCAAAATAACTTTCAAAGAAGTGTGATCACTGCATCTGTTAAAATTTCCCTCCATCGATTCCAGTTGGTCGATCATTAAATCAACAATATTTTCCCTTAAGATCAGTTTTATTATCTTGTTTCACATTATATTCACAATCTCGAATCAAAATCTTTCAAAACCGTCAAACAGATAATCGAAGTAAGCAAATGAAAATGAGTGAATTGCTTGATTCTGAACAGCATTATAATGTTACAACTTACATGTGTGGTAATAATCGAGGTGCACAAATTTCATTTTGCCATGCGTTAGTGATTATGGTGACAAGCTGAGCAGGTGTAATAGATTGACCCGTTTCATCATCAGTATTACCATCATCACTGAATGATTTTACATTTTCTTTCTCAACCATCATATCAGTATCAGTCAAAAGTGTATCTGGCGGTGATGTCATCCTTTCTGTTATTGAAGTACTGTTATCGTGTTGATCTCCATCTCTTGTCATAAAACATTCATCCATTTGTCTGGCTGAACTACTCACCAAACAAAACCCTAAAAAAACGTTACTATGTAAGAGGTCCTCGCAAATCTAAATTCGTCAGAAAAGTAAGAATCGAACTTCACTCGACTCCTTGGTGACTCAAAACTGTCTTGATGATATGAGCCAGTTCTACTCTTCAAAGCAAAAGATGCAGCAAATTCTCTGCATTGAAATCTCCCCTCTGCTACACAGCTGACAGTTATAATAAAATTTCGACATAATGTCGTTTGAAGTGTAACATATGACTTAAGGAGTAATGAATGATAAAGCCGTGTGACAGGACAACTTTATTTCTTACAAAGATTACATACAATCGAAATCGCAAGCAGGAAAGCAGACGCAATTACTAAAAACTAGTAGAAAAATTAGATATTTGGTTAGCACAACTCAAATTACGTATCGATATGCATAATTCACTTTATAAAATACGTCTCCCTTTGCTATCACCTTCTTGATAATTATTTCACCTCGCGGCTAGTAAAACAAAATGCTATTCAACTCTTTAAAATGATACTTTCTAAGATGCTGTACGGACTGATTTGAAAGTATGAGAAAAACACAGAGAAGATATTAACTAAACTACTTCACCGAAAAAACATTCAAAAAAATATTTTTTGCAAATCAGTTATAACAAAATCCTTAGCTCAAAACTGACACACACATTTTTTAATCCGGCGGAGACAGTAATGTTCACTGTATACTTCCTATGACAAAACCAAAATAACGGGAAGACATATTGGTAACAATCAAACATGAAAAAAATATAACTTACTGGCAACCTTACGAAAAAGTAATTACAAAAAAATTGCAATTAAAAAATGCCAACAAAAAGCATACTTCGAACTAGTTTTGGAGAATGATAACTCCTCATAAGCGATAAAACTAGAAAAGTTAAAAATTTTTAGAGCTCCATCGCAAGTAAATCTTGATGCAATAACGAAATCAAAACAACACGTATATTACGACCACCGATTTTTAAAAAGAGTGGTATTATTTTTCCAGAGACTATACAAGATAAAAATTCATAGTTTCTACTGTTGATTAGGCGTTCCTTGATGCAAAGGAGGAGTGGCTGCATCAGAGGACTCCATAGACTGGGGTATCGAGGTTGCTGGTGCTTGTGGTCCTTGAGGATGGACATAACCGCTAGAAGGAGCATACTGAAAAAATGAGACTTCGAAAATTTAGAAACTTCATTTTCAGAAAAATTATTAATTTAAATAAACATAAAGAGCACTGAATCGTAGAAAAAGGGTTGTTGGCACCTGTGGTCCTTGTGGTGGATAGCCCTGTGGATAGCCATAACCCTGTCCCGGAGGTGGAGCAGCCACTGACGTTGGGGGAAAACTTGAACGTACTGGTTGGCCATAACCCTGAAATCAAATCTTCACTTTTGACTGTATACGACCACCTCGTGTATAATTAAAATGAAAACTTGAAAATTTATGGAACTCCAACATGCGAAATTTTTCTAAAACTTATAATTTCGTGTTAGAGAGTGAAAACCATTTAATATTTAGTACTGACATATCCTACCTGCATCGGTTGCTGGTAAGGCGGTCGCTGAGCATACTGTTGTGGATAAGGTGGTCGAGCAGCAGGTTGGCCATAATATCCTTGAGCAGGCGGATTTTGATAACCTTTGACAACATTTTTATTACAAAACGAGAGTAAATGTTTTAAAATGTAGATATCAGTCGGAATATCAAAATGCGAAACCCTAAAGAAAGATTTTACTTTGCGGAGGATACTGCTGAGGTGATGCATTTTGTGCATACTGAGGATACTGCTGCTGCGGTGGGTAACCGCCTTGAGGAGGATAGGACTGTTGCTGAGATGGCTGTTGCTGCTGCGAAGGAACAGGAGTTGGCTGATATTGCTGTTGAGGTGGTAGTCCTTGCTGTTGCGGAGGAGGTAAATGGTGCTGCGGCTGCACAGCCATCATTTGAGTATTCACATTCCCAGCCGCAGAGCTAGGTTGTTGTGGCTGTTGCTGCTGCGGTTGCATTGTTTGCGCATTTTGCATTGGTTGCTGCGACTGTGGATGCTGTTGCATTTGAGAAGGCATTGCAGTCATGTTTGGCTGCATTGCAGCCATGTTGGGTTGTGGTGGGATTACACTGACATTAGGTTGAAGAGGGATTCCTGATATAGTATGAGGTGCTTGTGATACCTGAGAAATGGTACCAGGAACTGCCGCTCCTGATGTAGATTCAGATGTATCCATTTTCTGAGCTGCAAAAAACTGGGAGGTGCAGTTAACAAAATAAAATAAAAGCGCGGAAGATATGGATAATTTAAATGAACATTTTTAGACCTTAACCAGCAAGTCTTCACATCCACATAAAAAATGAAAATAAGGAAATTTTTTTCAAAGCATATATCTAAAATCGTATTACTTTCAAGAGGCATCTGTGCTTGCAAAGATACAACACCTGCTGTAGATGGACCACTGGAAACTGTAGAAGATGCTGAGACCACCACAGGTGGTATAGGTACTTGTACTTGTTGCTGTGGCTGAGGAGGTCCAGTAACTTCAAAGCCGGGAGGTAAACTTGGAGGAAGCTGACCTAAATAATTACGCCACTTTTAGTAGCTGCAGTTTAAGTGAATGCAATAAAACCATAATTAGGTTTTAGGGTATACCAAAAATAAGAGATCTACACAATCTACCAAAGTATAAGAAATTTACCACTAGCAACCATTTTCGACTGTGCTTCATGCTTGGCCCGCTGTTCAAGATATCGTAATTGATCCATGTGGAAAGACTGTCGTTCCAAAATTAGTTGTTGTCGTTGATATTCAAGCTGCATATGCATAATTACATTAGAAGAGATTACGAATAATGATCATAACATGTGCTGTAGAAAAAAAATACGTCAAAGAAAAAAGTATTTTTTGTACATGAAGTTCTCTTCCTTATCAACGGATGATAAGCGCCACTTAAAAAAAATTGGAACTTGAATCCAAAATAACTTAATACTAGCGTGGTATTTAAAATAATCCCTAACTTTAGGTAAGCATATTCTTTAAACAATATCTTATCTACTTACTGCTTCTCGCTCTTTGTCCATTATTGCTTCAAGTTCGTCAAAATGACGAAGCTTCATCTCAAGTTTCTTCATCTGAGTTTCAACTAGTTGAGCAACTAGTGATTTGATGCGTCTTTCTTCTATAGCGGCTAGGTGCTGTATAAAAAAAAATACGTCACAGGAGAAATATTTTTGTACATAAAGTTTCTTTCCTTACCAGCATATACACTTAAAAATTACAAATATTTATGCATTAAGTATACCATTTATTATTTAAAACAAAATAATTTGAGAACATAATAATCTTTTAATATGACTAATGTATGATTTGAGTGGTAATAAGCATGACACTGAAAATATGTTTTTTAATCAGAGTGCTTTCTGTACTAGAGATAGTTAAATAAAATCAGAAGATAAGCTATTTATTTTTTAAATCTGAACTTGTTTTACCATCCCATGTACTTTAATTGAAGAAAGTGTCTTGACAAAAAGCTTTCTCTCACCAACTTTTAATTTCAGAATACAACTAATTATCATAAAGCGACCTTTGCTTTGACAGCAGCTGCACCCAAAGCCGCGGCAGCAGCAGTTTGCACCGTTTCAGAAACTTTACTTTTGTTGCTTTCCATTTGTTTGTCATGTGACTTACTACTTTCATCATTTCCTTCTGCAGCCGAAGTCAAGTTCTTCATTTTTTCGAACTGACCTTCCGCACGTTCTGATCCATTACCCTTGCTAACTGAAATATATAATATGACAGTGCAACCTTTCTCAAAAGTAAGAAAATTCAATTCAAATATATTGTCAGAACAATGCAGCGCGCTTACTTTTATCATCAGCAATTCCAGAAACACTCAAGCCTGCACTGCCATCAATTTTGTCTCCTTTAGACGCTGCTTCTACGTTAATAGCATGTGCTTCAGCAACCAAAGGAGGTACTTCTTCTTTCATTTTTGCAAACTCTTCTACAAGCAAAACATGACAGAAGATATAGCAACTTTTCAGTAATGAAACTTTTAAAAAAAATCAAATCAATTACGGATGATTCAATACCTATAGCAGCTTTTGCTGCTTTCGAAGCGACACGAGGATCAACAACCGATGCAAGAAATGCTACGGTCGACATTACTGGGTTACCAGTTTGACTGAATGCTAGCGGCTGATAAGCTAAGGGGCCTAGAAATATTTTCTGAATGCTAATGGTTGATACATTAAAGAGTGCAAAAATTATTTTTATTTGTACCAAAATTACATGTCAAAAGACATATGAAAAAATTAACTAACCTAAAATTTCATTTTCAGCACCTCCTTCCTCCAAATAAGGATCTTGAATTGGCAGCTGTAAAAATCGCATAATGCATTCATCTTGCGTGCGTGATCCCACATGATCTGCTACCTAAAAATTGACAATGAAATACTATTAATACAGTATATTTTTCGTCGGAAGTACTTTTATAATCCTAATGTAGCATAACAATTTTAAAATATTATATCTGTGCAAAATTCAATAAAATATATACTTTGTTCCAGTCATCCTTGAATAATTCTAGACCCTCTAATAACAGAAGCGTTTCCTGATCAGTCCAGTCTCTATTTGGAGCCAATCCTCGCATCTGCAATTTCATTGAAAAAAGAATTAAAATCCAGTGGCGGCAGTACTATTCAAAAATACAGCATTTGGGTGAAAAAATATGAAAACACAAACTAAATAACATAAGTGTCACCGCCATGAAGGAAAATACCAAGATCAATACATCAAATTCAGAAAGAAAAATAATTTGCTTAACAAATTTTAAAATAAAGAATGACTTCTTGAAGCCATTTTACGAGGACAATTTTGATATAAGTTCAGTGCGAGCAGTAAAAAATTTTTTAGCTTATCAAATTCAACACTTTGAAAATTATGCAATCCTGTCACCAGAAAAATTACTTGCTACATGAAAATGGAAAATATTTTCGAAACTGAATAAATATAAGCAATTATTTATAATGCAAAAGGAAAAGCGATGTACTAGAATTTGTTTTGTTATATATGAGCATAGTATGAGCAAAGTAAAATTGATAAAAATTGCTACTAATGACATAAACAACTGACGCACTTTTCAAACAGTTTATGAAAAACATTACCAACCTTCATCGACATTAGATGTTTTGCATACATATCGGTTTTTAATCCAGTATCACCCAATTTTTCAATCTTAGTCATTGCATTACTTTCGTCTTTGATACTTTCACTATCTTTTTCCTTTTTTTTTTCCTTCTCCTTCACTTTTTCTTTTTTAATGTCATCAGCCTGGAAATGCTAAGATGATTCAATGAAATCAGTCAGAGAAAAATACTACAAACTAACTGCGTTAAATTATTATCAGTTTGTTCTGCGGGTTTATTTTAATTTGAAAAAAAATCTCAAATTTTGCAAAATCAATAGTAATCGTCAATTTAAACCTGTAAAATATTTGGCGATGGTTGAATAGGTTGAACACCCATTGGTGTATCTGCGAGTACCATAAAATGAGAGGTACAAGGTGGAGCAACAGGAGCAGGCCGCGCTTCTGAATCAACTTGATAATTGATAAGACCCCACTGTTCCAAAAAAGAATGAACCCTGAAAAATGAAATTTTCACACTTTTATAAGGCTGAACAATTTGTTCACGACTGTCTTAAGCAACCATGAAATTTTTACAGAACTATAATAATCTTCCCACTGCAGAATACTTAAGCCATTTTAGTCACTAAGTATTATATTTTTGGAAGTTATCATATAATGACTTTTTAAATGCACTTCTTTGACAAATTAAAAGCAAATGCTGCTTTGACAAAGACTAAGTTGGACATTTGACAGCATTCAACTACTTACCGCAGAATTGCGCACACATCGCCACCAAGATTCCGTCTACATGCTGTTGAAGACAAATATTCGAAGGGATTTAACCGGTACGTATCAAGCATGAAATTACGATATGCCATGTATCTAAAAAATACACTATTTAATTTACTTTAGAAAGTCAAGATCTTCAAAAAAAATCTATAAGGTACCGAAATCTTTAAATAACATTTTTTAATGTAATTAAATATCAACTAATAGAACTATAGTTACTTTTTTATTACTAAAATCCCTAATACATGTAGTTTTTAGGAAAAATAAGTGCTCAGAAAACAAATAATGAAACCACAATGGTTTTCAATCATAAAATGGAATGAGTTTATGAAACTTACACTTCCGGTGATTTACTTTTGTTTCGCCCATTAAAAAACTCTGGAACTCCACGTTTTTCAATTTGATGTATTGCATTATAGTCAAACCATGCCGAATATGAAGGAATGATGATGTAATGGGTTTGTTCAATGACATTATTTTCCTGGAATTTAATCGTTCCAAAATTTCTATACAATAATCGCTTGAAAGAGGATCAGTTATTAGCTACACAATTTAAAGTCCAATTAAATCAGATATTAAAAAATATTAAAACTAAAATATTAAACCACAGTAAAAGACACATTACTCTTTTTATGTTAAAATACTGTGAATTCAGATCAATCTTTGTAAGAGAACTATTCCATAGTAGTTTTCAATTGAAAAATTTCAGCTTTTGAAAAAAACTTGTTAGTTTCTCCGTCACTTTAAATGATTGAAGTATTTGCTTTCTCTTTCTCTCAAAAAATTCAAGTTTAATCCTTCAAAACAAAACCTGTCCATCTTTGACACCTTCTTCATCCAAATCTGTCAGTTTTTGTGTTTTAGGTGCTGAATACTCCATATCTTTTTCTTTCCCTGGAAAAGCTAAGCTCAATAATTACGTATTTTTTACTTTGCTTACATCTAATACCTACATTACATATACTTTACTTACATTCAATGGCTCTTAATATTGAAGAACATGGCACATCTTTTTTTGTATCAGAAATCATTGGAAATAATTTTTGATTTTCAAGTTTCCGAAAGCATCAAAAAACTGAGGCAGAAAATAATTAAGTTATAGATATTGTAAAAGCAAAGGAATAAGTCGAAAATGTGGCTCGAACAGTAAAAGTAACTTATGCAGCTAAAAATCAAAGCAAGTATAAAAAATAGAAATATAATTCATCAACAAAAAAATGACTGGTGAAAACCTTTTGGCACAGATACCAATGTCAGCCCACTTCGACTATCTTCTTCATCTGGTACGGAAGTAGAATCATCCTCTTCTCGTTTACGTTTCTGTCCACTATAAAAACTGGTATATCAGAATGCAATAATCAGTAGAAAGATACAATTTTTATCTATGTGAAACAGCTATATCTTGACATAAACGATAGAGACTATTTCTACTTCACTAAACACAATAGTTTTCGCCTGTAATTTAAACAATCTATATTCCTCCTGGACAAACTATAACAATACCGAGTTTATATCACAGAATACTTGAGGTAAACATCAGTAACTATTGAACAACGATTGGAACCGTGAATATTATTTTCGAAAAACTGACCAATTATAAATTCAGCTCAAACATTCAACAGATCTCAATAAATAAGCTTTTACTTACCTTTTACGAACAGCAACTTTGCTCGATGACATTTTGCACAAATTGAAGATTCAATTTTCGCTCTAAAATTATGATATATTAAGATTCAATTTCCGCTTTAAAATTATGCAAGCCACCAAAAAAACCCTAAATTTAATAGATATATAACCTCACGTATTTACCAAAACGTAAACAAAAATTTCGGGTTTACTGAAGTAAGCAAATAATGACCACAACATAGATGGAATAAATAGATGCTATTGACGTGATATGCATCCACTTTTGAATGAAGATTAATTAACAGAATGAACATCAATAAAGCGTCACTTACTATGGTTACAGAGTAAAAAGTTTCTACACAAAACATAAAAGCTAGAAAAACGTACACTCTGCCAATATAAGTCTTCATTAACAAATAGTATGTTTTTCCATCTTACTTGAGAACCATCACCCCATTATTCTCAAGTAAGACTTCACTGACAGTTTAAGCCTCAGTATGCTTTTAATGTAAGATTGGTACCAATTTGAAAACTAAACCTTTAATTCGTAAGTAAAACCTATTCTAATTAAAAAATATTTACAATTCGAAAATTGATTAAATTGCTGCAAGCTAATATTTGTGACCACCGTTGATTTTCAGGATTTATTGAGTGTTCATGCATTGGTGTGCCAGTTAAATACGCAAAAAATAGCACCTTAAGTCTCACGATGTCTTAATTTAAGACTAACACCAATTTGAATGAAACTAGAGAAAATATTGCCATCATCGTGACCTGAATGACCGCTCGATTGATTTAGCAAACCATGAAATCATTTCAAAACACGTGTCTCAATATGAAATAACGAAAATCATGGTATTCAGAGTTTCCGTTGAATTTACTACGATGTTGTTGAAATTGATGACCTCAATAATTTTTCAGTAAAAAAAATCAGTTTCTGTAAGTGTAATAAAACTATCGTTTATTTTAGAGCCACTGAAAATCAATCATTTTAACTGATGAAAATTAATTATTCTAATTATTTTGAAGTGCTACTTGTGAATTTTGAATTCAGAGTATATAATGTGTTTTAAAAATTGTTCAAACTTGACTCTGCATGTTACTCAAAATAGTTCTCTAATTTTTTCGGAACGTGAAAACATGTTTTTGATTCTTGAAAGTAAAAAAGTCAATTTTTTCGAAAACTATTTATTTGCTTCGAAAATATTAATAAATAAGAAATAACGTTCATTTTCTTCGTGTAAAATAATTTTTGCAAAAATATTTAATAAAGTTCGACCCAAATATAGTACAAATTAGGCTTAGATTTAGGCTTGACTTTTAGACTTTAGCATACGGACGAGTGTTCTTGGGCTTAGGCTTAGGCTCCGGCTAGGCTTAGGCTTAGGCTTACGCTTACGCTTAGTCTTAGGCTTAGGCTTTACCTAAGCGTTAGGCTAAGCGTAAGCCTAAGCCTAAGCCCCATAATGATATACAGTCAAATTGGGTAAATGCAGTGATTATCTTATATTTATGTCTAATTTGAAAGTACTTGAACTTCAGTACGGATCTGATTATACAAGTGCTGGTAGAGGATTTTCGCAACTTGCTGTAATATTATATTGGTATAAACAACCGAAGACTGT